CCTAAACCCTGAATCCTAAACCGCAGGGTGTAGCGCCTATGTTTCGAGCTTCGAAGATCCAGAAATTCAGGTACCTCATATAGGGGCCTAAATCAGTACCTATACTAAGTATTTCGGGAGGTCCTTATTGTAATTATAGTATAATATACCCCATAACCCTATGCTTTTTACTAAGGCCCTTAGACCCTAAACCCTTATAGTAACCCTTATGAAGGAACCCTTAAAGGAACCCTATTCTAATTACTAAGGCCCCTACATTAGACCTCGGGGTCAGTTTTATCGTCGGGAGATGGGAGTCGAGATTACTTTCAAGACCCGAAGCCCCAAGCCCTCGGTTTAGGGTTTTACGGTTTTAGGGTTTAGGGTTTTAGGGTTTAGGGTTTAGGGTTTTAGGAGTTTTAGGGTTTAGGGTTTGTTGGTTTCGGGTTTTAGGGTTTAGGGTGTAGGGTTTTAGGGTTTAGGGTTTGAGGGTTTAGGGTTTTAGGGTTTGTGGTGTTGGACAAGGAATGCACGACCAGATCGTTGCCCTGCGCTGGGTGTGGCTTGGCCTGATTTCACTTGCCATCACTGTAGCTGGAGTTAAGCGTTTGGGCCATCATTGTCAGCTAGAGTTTCGGGTTTGGGTGCAGCTTGAGTTCGAAAGCTTACTTCTAGACTGTGGGATGCTCTGCTCCCAGGATTAGTAGAACATTCCGGCAAGAGCAAGGCGGCCATCCCTTCGCCCTTTGATAACTGCGACCCTTCATAGCTGCCATTTCTCGGAGTTGCCTAAACCCTAAACCCCTAAACCCCAAACCCCTAAACCCGAAACCCCTAAACCCCTAAACCCTAAACCCCAAACCTCGAAACCCCAAATCCCCAAAGCCCCAAGCCGCTGACGCAGCATACCGATCTGTGGCCCCGAGCCTGAAGCCGCGACCCCGAAGCCTTGGTCCATGTTCCATACATTCTCGTATGTGTGTCTGTGTGTATATGTAGATGTGTATATATATATATATATGTGTATGTATATATATATATATGTATATATCTATAACGATAGTTATGTATAGTAGATAGATCGATCGATAGACAGACATCCCTTTGCCCTAACTGTTGCACCAGTCTCTGATGTAGGAGTCCGCAGAATGCGCAACACTATTCCCGAAGGCCCCCCTATGATGCTATGTGCTCATCGAAGAATCCCCCCCAAACCTTATTCGAAGTGCCCAAGCCCCTGCAGTATAGAACTCCAACAAAGAACTTCTAGCTACCCATAGGCCCTAAAGTAGTTCCTTTTTGAGGTTCATATATAGAATCCTGTAAGGTAACCCCAAAAAGGAACTACTATGGGGCCTATGCTACCTTGAAAGTATGCTTACAGAACCATTGACTTGAAGCCTCCCCACCTACTCTCACCATATCAGGCCCTACATTGCACCAACCGCTAAACCCTAAACCACCCAATTTTTCGAGGCCCCTCTATAAAAGCACAAGCACCCTTAAGCCCGCAAAACAGTTGAAACCCTTAAACCCCTTCAAGCCTTAAGCCCTGAAGCCCTGCAGCCCTGAAACTGAAAGGACCCTTAAACCCGTCAACTCTTAAGCCCTGAAGCCCTGAAGCCGTAAGCCCTGAAACTGAAAGGACCCTTATCAACTGCCCTAATGGCTCTATTTTGGCACTCCCGTGAGGCAAACGAACATTGCCAGCTTCGGGGGAGATCCCGACCAGGTGCTCAGCATGTTTCCCAAAGGGTTTAGGGTTTAGGGTTTAGAGGTCCTAAGTACCCTACACAGTCGAATGTAGGGTTTCCATAATGGGAATTGCCGTTCTGGTTAGCTACTTAGGACTCCGACGCTTTGGATGTGGAGTTCCCAGCAAACGTCTAGACCCCCTAACCATTTTTACGCCCCCAGACCCTGGACCAAGAAATATGAACCCACACGCCAAGACCTAAACCCTGAACCGTCCGCCCTTTCTGGGATGCAAGCCTGCGTGCAAAACCTTGAACCTGCCGAGTCCGAACTGCGTAAGCCTAAAAACCATCCTGGCAACTGGCAGGCGCTTGCAAACCTGCCTACTATCATCAGGGTTGCCGACTCTAGCAGATGAAGGTTTTCAGACTCCAACATTCCGTGTCCTGCCAGAGCTGCAGTGGCTGCAGTCAGTCGATAAGGCTTCACAATCCATGTCTAGCCATTTCTGGCGACCCAAGCCGCAAAGCTTTATCATCCACCTGCGTCGGCTCCGAACTCACGAACGTCAGGAACTCTGCAGCAAAAATGCGCCCAAGGGTTCGATTCGGCTCTTGACCTTCTCCCTCAACCCTAAACCCTAAACTGTGAGTCTTTGTCACGTTGCTTTCACGTCTATAGCCCGGGAGGCCTGGGCCCTAAGGCGCTGGGATCAGGGTTTACCCATAGGCTCCACTGTAGTTCCTTGTTGGGATTACCTTATAGCATCCCAATTTAAAACCCCCCAAAAAGGAACTACAATGGAGCCTATGGGTAAGCATGTTTAAAATCTAAATTCTAAAGATCCTAAACCAGACGTCAGAAACTCTGAAGTTTAAGGTTTCACCCGAACGACAGCTCCTATACCCCAACAGCCCGCAGCCCACGAGCCAAGATCTTGATGTAAATCTTCCCGGAATCAGCTTGCAGCTCCCCCAAAAAGCTACAAAGCTCCAACCACCATAAGGCCCGGAAAGTTGGAGCATGGATTTGGGATGATTACTGCTAGGATCCCCTATACCTGAAGGGCACCAGGACGATGATGTTCCAACTTTCTGGCTTCTACTTTAAGCCCGTAGACACGAAACCTGCTCGAGGTGACCTTGTTTGGGTGCTCGGCAGGGAGCCTCTCCATTTGCGTGCTCTCCGTTTCACCGTTGACGCAAGGACGGCAAAGCATCCTAGACCCTAAACCCTAAATTTGGGGTGTCGTGTTTCGGGGAGCTCTAACACCAAGTGCAGCTTGAAGCCAAATTCTCACCGAAACGAAGTTTTTGCAGGTTGGCAGTAGGCATACCTCTTTGCGACTCTCAGTCAGGTTTGCCCTACATGTCTTTAAGCTCACCTACCCCACCCCCCCCAAGTTTTCTCCGACCCAGAACCCCATTACGAAACAGCCACAAGCCAAGAAGCTCGTACGTAACTTCCCTACCCATAGAAGTCATGACTGATCCCCGAAGCTCTCAAATCTCTAAGCCATCGGCGCCGCTGGCTAAGAAACAGCCTTGAAGCATACAAGTTAACCCTAACACTTCAGAATCATATGGGGGTTTCCGAAAATAGGGGACCCTAATATAGTACCCTAAACAATAAGATCATTATTAGGAGCCCAAAATAAGGTACCCCTATTTTCGGAAACTCCCCTTTCACCATCAGCAGCTCAAGTTCGGCTTGCAGCTGATCATCTTCACCAGGGTTTAGGGTTTCGGGGTAATGTAATGTAGGGGCCTTGATGCTTACCAACTACTATTTTTGGGGTTGGTTCCTTAGGAAAATTATAGTATAATGGGCCCCAAAACCCGATTCTAATTGTTAAGGCCCCTACATTATTGTGATCCTTCTACAAAATGCAAAATCAGCCGCCAAGACCCCCGGCTAAGTCGGGTTGAAATCCCGCGATCGTTGCTCCTTCCTATAATCTTATACTACAACATACCCCCCAACACCCTAGTCTAATTCTTAAGGCCC